ATTATTGCAGTTATTAATAATATAAATAAATTTATTAACAATATTATTTATTTAATAGCTTGTGAAACAACACAGATCACTTTGAGGGATCATAGCTTCGAAAATCTAGAATGTTATATTTTCAGTTTTTGATAAAAACTTCTTGAATATAATCAATACCAATGCAACTGCTATCAAAATTATGGCCTGAAAAAAATTGCGAAAAACCTTGGAGTACTTCAAAAATCGTTATATCTGTTTTAGGGAAAAAATCAAAGCATGATGGCATGTATTCTCAAAAAAGTCTAGCCAAAAGGGGATATCTTTGAGGAACAAGTTGCATTCACTATTACAATATGCCAAATAATTCTAAATCCAAGTAATGAAAGTATTTTAATTGATAAAGCATTAATTAAAAACAAAATAAAAAAAAATAAGGTAAGTTTTAAAATTCTTTGAAGTATTATAGAGTTATTTGTTTATTAATAATATATTTTAGAAAAAAATTAAAAAGAAAATCAAATTTATGGAAGGCAATTCAAGCGATGAAGATTAAGAAATACATAAGCAGGAAAATATTGAAATTCAAAGTACTTTGAAGGAAGTAGAAAATGATGAAAACAATCCAAAATTGCAATTAAAAAATATAAGAATAGAAAGGTCTACTTTTGTAATGAATGATGTAAATGTAAATGATTAATAAAAATGTATAAAAAAAGTAATTTTCAATAAATAAATTTTTAAAAATTAATATTTTAATAATAATGTGAAATTATTTTATTAAAATTTAAAATATTTGAAAATCTCCAGAGTTCATACTATATATAAATCTGCTTCAAAAACTTCTAATAATAACAGAGTGCCTCCAGAGTTTTATATCCAAAATCTTTAGAGATATTGGCCAAAAAAATTTCCTGATATAATTAAAAAGAAAGATTTCAACTTGGAAATTATAAAGATCAAAGCTTATGGGATCAATAAGTTCAATAACCAAGTAAATCTATTCACTAAACAAGTTAGACATAAAAATTAAATAATCTGACATTAACTATTAGAATTAAGAACAGTTCTTATAATAGCCATATAAAGGAAGCTCATGATAGAGATCCGTATTAGGGAATTTGTCAAAATGTTTAATAGGAAAAAGATTGAAAAGATTGAATAATATAGAAAAGGATTAAAGAACCGTAAATTCAAATCATAGACTAATTAATCTTCTGAAATTAGTTCAACTTATTTTATACCTTTGATATCTCTTTAAAAGATAATAAAGACAAAAGCTTCTTAACTAATCTGATCCATAATGAACTTCTAGTACTACAGATATTGAAGAAAAGAAATCTAGATATTTATATTATTCTGATCTGTTTAGTATATAAACTTTAAGAAAAAATATTAGAATACTTGTTTAAATATCCAGTCACCAAAGAAATCAGAGAAGATATATAAAAAAAAGCAAAAGAAAGGATCAACTGCTATATCAGTAAAAAAATTAAAGACAAAGAAGAAGTTTATCCTGCAATCAATAACTAGACAAATAAATGGTTAAATGGGATTCAGTAATCTAATAGAAGCCTTTTCAATATTATTTACGGATATATGGAAGAGAACAAAACCACTTCCTTGAAAAATTACCTTAAAGCATAACTCAAAATTCTTCAACAGTTACATGGAGCATAATCAGTAAGCTTTGTTATAAGATGAGGAAAATTTCAAAAGGAATATATGGAACATCCACTGCAAAAAAGTAATAGAGTGGGAAAAGAAGCAGAATATTATTGAAAAGAACAAAATAATCAAAAGACCTGAATATAGATCCATCACACAGATCATACAAAAACAAGAAGAAGAACTTATATTTGTAGAAAATCCAAGGCAAGAAGTTTTTAAAAGAAAGGAGAAAATGAAATATATAGAAATCATAAAAAAAAATGGTTTGGTTTTTAACTGTAGTTGGAATTTAGAATGATCTATAGTAATAACCTATAGACAATAATTTTATTGACTAGAGGATTTATCCAAGTCAATAAAGGAGTGAAATATCATTTTCTAAATTGTATCTAGAGAAATAGTTTTTTGACAATAGATGAATTAGTATGTGAAAGTCAAAACATTTTGTAAATATTTTTTATATATACAATAAAGACAAGCCATACTAACCTGACTGCAGGTTTAAAAACAAAAAAAATATCATTCTATTTAAATAAATATATACTTTTGTATTCTTTTGATTAATATTATAATTTAACCTGATTATGAAATAATAATAGATATTTTATAGTTACTGTGTATTAACAAGTTTTTATTTTTATTGAAATTCTTTGAGAGTAAGTTATTATTAATTTAATAATTAATATTTTAAAAATATAATACTAGTAGTTAAAAGTTTTAATATATACAAAGATTCTATCATTCGGTTATAACAGGTGCAATATAAATAAATTATTTATAGTTAAGTTTCAAAAAACTGCTGTATTTTACTAATTATTGATGAAAGTTGTTAGGTAAAAACAAATTTAAATCTTCAATAATACACAAATTTATTTATTGAAATTTATATTGATAGTTCCATATAAACTTCACAGATTATATTCTATTGTATATGCAAATTAATATCCATATTATCTCGGGGCCTGCATAAAACACTTACTTATAAGTTTCACTCAATCAGAATTAATATCGATGAGCTAAAAATTCAACGCCAATTATTCTTACCTTTCATTGCCAGTCTCTGACTTGTGCAAGTCACTCCCATTCATATTGAAATATCTTAATCTTGTTGCCGGACAAAATCTGTAATGGTTCTCTGATTCGTTGACAAATATCCCGTAAACCGGTGATTAAAAAGTAACATAATGTGCCTTTTGCTATTCTTTCTTTTTCCTAGCTAGGTATCTGGCTTTTGCATCTGAAATTGCTTTTTCATCATTCTTTCTTGACAATTTACTTAATAATTCCATTTCTTTGCGCCTCTCTTCCTCCAAATTTTTTTGTTGAGTTTCTATAATCTGTCTCTCTAATTCTTGACTTTGTCTTTCACGACGACGCCTTTCTTCACTATTCTTAGAGTCGTATTTATCATCATATCTTCCGCCATCACGATATTTATAAGACCTATTGTATGATGAATTATCTTTTCCTGATGACCGCGACATTGAACCCTTTTTTTTCGTGACGTTTAATCCAGCAGATAAAAGTTGTCTCTTATCCACTATTTGCTCATCATCGTTTAATATTACTATTTTACCAGATGCTCTGGCTTGATCCGCAAGTTCTTTATCAGTTTTCGGCTGTTGACTATTAGAATCGTCCCGGTCGATTTCTGATGCCGATCTTTTTGAGGATGAACGACTTGCTTCAATGGCAGCGGTTTTTGATAAACTAGTTTGCTCTAACAATTTTCTATAAAATGGCGTCATATCTTTCGCACCAGCTGCATCTTCCGTTTCTATAAACATTTGCAAGTGTAAATGTTGCATCCGATAGACCAATTCAAAATTGTAAGCAATCCTTTTTTTCTCACCTCGAAGTCTATCTTCTTCCTCGGCTTTTTTCAATTCTTCCTGTTGTGCTTTATATCTGTTCAAGTTTAAAAAAAATTTAGCATAGATATGTTTGTCAATGCAAATAGACAATATCTCTGGTAGAAAAACTCACGCCAAAGTTACAAAAGTTTCTTTTCCTTCGAATTCATCACCTTCAGCCTCTCGTTCTTTTTGTACCTTGCGTTCTTGAGCTCGAATATAATCCCGCTGTCGAATTTCTGCGGCTTTTAATAAACTATCAACATATTTTGGCTGCAAATATATATATATATATATATATTGTAAAACGTTACCAAAATGTTTATTAAGCAAAAAAAAAAATTTTTTTTTAATGTTGGACCTTTTTAGATCTCTCATTCTTTCCTTTGATCTCTTCCAATCTATTTCTTTCAACACTTTTCATATCATCGTATACTTCATCGTATGCAAAAACCGTGGGATCCTCTTCTAACGCTTCTTTATATTGTTCTCGAACCGACTGACTTATAGAACTTGAAGACAATATCTGTGCATTAACGGTTCTTGTGTAAGATCTTGAGTTAGATTTAGTGTTTTCAATAGGATCGTTAGAATCCTGATTATCGTCTTCTGTGAAAATCGCTGCCCTCTTCGGTTTTGTTAATTGGCCAGAGGATCTTTTGGAATTTAAATTAAGACCGTAAACCAATGGCTTGTTTTGTTGCATCGTGTGTGTAAAACAACTTATTTCGTGATCAACTGATTGGAAAATATAAATATGTTATTGATCCACATGCTGCGCCCTTGTATCTATCTAAATGCATTATTTATACCATAGTCCAATTAAGGAGGTTTCATTGATTTATTTTTCTTTTTGAGTATTTAAGTACAGTATATGAGAATAATAAAAATAAATGGTAATTTTTAGCTGCTGTATTTCACCATTACTTTCGAGTATTAATAGGACGCGTATTTTGTCTGAAATTAGAGGTGGTTAATATAAGGTCTACTGATTCTGGAATATTTTCCTTTATGGATAAGTTTTATTGTTGGTATATTCGTGCGTTTAGCCATCTAGTTTTATTTATTTAATCATACTTCAAGGATAGGAAAAAAAAAGGAAAAAAATCACTATTATCTTCATAAATTTTATCAGAATATTAGTAAAGAAAATAGGGAACAACAACTAAGCAATCTTTTTTTTTGGATTATAAAATTGATAAATACGAGTTTGCCATTTTGCACTGGCAAATCACTATCATCAACCATCGTTAAAAAATTTACAGAACAATTGTAACAATGACAACGACAACATTATCATCGTTATCAAGTAATAATTTCGAAGAAATTACTGTATATTCCGCTAATGTGTCCATTCTGATGAAATATGGAAATGTTACTAACATCAATGTCAACATATAAGATTTGAGCAATGATTTTAAGGAAAATATGACAATAACATTCAAATAATATAAAAAGAACGTTTCGGCATCATTAATATTAAAAAATAATTTTCGTATAAATTATAATTGCGGGCATCTGTTAAAGTTTGTAAGTGTAGTATTAAAAAAATCATGTTTCTGAAGTTAGATGAAGAAAAAAGTTATCAGTTAAAGTGATTTATATTCTACTAATTGTAGCACGTAATTAAAATTTACATATGGATTTGGATTTAGAAACATGTTTGACGATGAAGTCAGAAAAGAATTTTGGAATCAAATTTATTTATAATACATCATTAAAAAGGTATATAACCTTTTTCTAGCATTCTTTATGAAAAGTACTTTAATTATGTATTAATTGTCAACTTTACAAGAAAGTATAAACTTGTTTTACAATTCTTAGAAAAGTGTATCAATTATAATATTTATTGCAATTATAATTTTGACAAGTATTGCCATAATAGAACTATTTTTCAATATAAGAATATTTGAATCCTAGTGGATATTATTGAAAGGTTGAAGTATTGGAATAATATTTTAATAACAAAAATTCCTTAATCAATGGAATATCTTTTTTTTTAGACACTAGCTCATTCTTATGCCATAATAAGTATTTTATTATAATAAATATAATATCTAGAAATAGTTAAAATGAATAATTATCTGTACTGTCTAAAGATTTACAAATTACTTAATAGTATAAAGAAATAACTATTTATATCTTACTTAATCAAAATAAGATAATTACATAACTATTTAGTATAAATACTTCTATTTATTATAATAAACACTGATTAGGAATAAAAAAACTTCAAAAAATTGATATATTATGGTATTCTCTAAGGCTTGAACACATCAAATAACTTATTACTATCTTCAAGAAAAAAGCTAATATGTCAAGGATTTATTTGAAATATCCAGTATTATACATATTAAAAATTTATTATATAAAATCTTTAATTCTACTGATGTTAAAAACAAAAAAATTTTAAAGGGTTTATATACAAATCTTGTTATAAGAATAATAATTGTGGATTAATTATATTATTAATTTTTGATAAAGTTGTAAATATATTAAAACTCTTTAAAAAAATAATATCCAAATTATTTAGTTATATTTACTAGAAAAAAAAGAAAAAAAAATTTATATTATTTATTTAATGAGACCTATTTTGATTTATTTTTTTCTAATTATTATTGATATAAAAAAAATAAAATAAAATAAACAATTTCCCTATTTTGTGTCTCAACCAGTCTTATTGTTTAATAAGAATTTAATCTTATATAAAAGATGATGTACCGCTCGATTCTTAGCTATTAATAAACTTTTTTGTGATTTTAGCATCACACTGGGCTGAGATTTATCTTTATTAGCAAGTATAATTAAGCTAGTCCTTTTTATATGTTCTAATTGGATAATTAATCTATAGGTGGGTATTCTTTTTCTTATATTCAATAACGTGGCAATGTTGTATCCTATATCTATCCATATTAATACATATGAATCATAATGAACTCCAGGTTCTTATAAAGCTGAGGAAAAGTATTTAGATATATGAGGTGGCCAATAGGAGCTTGATTATCAATTTTATCTAATGTGTTTCATATCAACCAATCAAAATCAATGAAATTTGTACTATACTAAAATTCTGAATCAAGCTGTGTTAGGGTAAAATTTCTCAAAATGTCATAAAATGATAGTTCTTAGAGACCACAAGCTAGTCAAAAAGAAAAAGATAAGTCCTTTGACTAAAAGAAAACCTCTATCTTATCTTATTCTTTTGCTTTAGAAGAGTAGTAATAGGTATTTCATCAGTGGTCCTTCACTCTTTAAGAACTTTCTTACTATTGATAGTAAAGATGTGAACTGAATTTTGTAGGCCACAAAAGTTCAGTTTGTCTGAAGTTAATTGTAAACAAGAGAAAAAGAGTCTAGGTGACTCCTGAAGATTCCCTTCAGGTTGGATTAAGGAGAGTATTAAGACTTTATTAACAAGGAAGTACCAAAACTTCTTGTAAATATCTTTTTTGTATATAGTTAAAGGATCAATGAAAAGAATTAATCATATTTAATTTTGTTGTTTATTCTTTATTATTATTTTAATAATATGGAAAAATTTTATTATTTGTTGTGATGTGTTAATAATATTTATTTTACATGTATGTTGTAATAGTATTATTGATATTGTTGATCTGTTAATAATAAACATATAAGGTTATAGAGTTGTTAATAATTAATTTGTGTAAACACATAGAAAGTGTATTAACATTGATTATTTAACATGTCTTTTGAGCTTGTTGTGAAAAGTATACATGTCTATATTTGCATAATGTAATATTATTGAAATATTGTTGTCATAATATATGTACTTTTTTACTATATAATCAATGAAGCTTAGATGTTTTTCTAGGTTTTATGAGTATTTGGACTTGAACTGATTTATCAGTTTGAGTTATTGCTTATAAAGCTTCTCTTAATATCTAGAAAAGTGTTAACTTATACTGGCCTGACTAGAAACTTTGTGGGGTTGATGTTAGGCTTCCAAGGGCTTACTAAAATTCACTTTTTCTTGTTGTTTTTCTTTTTCTAAAAGAAAAAATTTATGTAACAGAAGTTAGTAATTTTGAAAAACTTATCTTTTCTATACTCTATAAAGAGTTCTTAAACTTGTTTTTGTAAGTTGTTTTGTTGTAAAGATGGTTTTCTTGTTTTTTAGCTAGTTTCTCTTTTTCTTAAAAAATTATTAAAAAAGAAATTTTCTAAAAATTTGAGAATCAGTGAAAAGAGTTAAATCAATATTAAATTATATAATAAAAATTAATTAATAATTTATTTATATATCATTAATTTGCCAAATTATTTCTTTTTTAATAAATCCTATATAAATAAAATTACATGTATTAAATAAATATTTTTTGACTAATATAAATGAAAATTAATTTGTAAATATATTTTTGAAATTTTGTTCAAAAATAAATATTAAGAAAAATATTATTATAAAAATGTGATTTAATTTTAAATTAATTAATTAATTCTTTAATAATATAAATATTTTGTATTGTTTCTCTTTTAATAAACTATTTTAATAGTATATCAAAATAATCAAATTATTTCTATACACTTTTTTGACAAGAAAAAAAGAACCTTATTATAATCTTAATAATTATTTATCTACTATTAACAATATTTTTATTATTATATTTAATAAAATGTGAATAGAATTTTTTTTTTTAATCCACAGTCAGGTCAATATGGCTTGTCTATTTTATTGTAACCATATTTGATATTTATATATTTTATGACTTTTATATATTAACTCACCCATCTACAAAGTTTAATCTTCTCTAGATACAACTTAGGAAATGATATTTCACTCTCTTTATGGCTTTGATTATCTTCTAACCACTCAGATTATTGCTTACAGCTCATCAATATAGATCTCCCAAAGTTCTAACTGTAATTAAAAACCAAACTATTTAAAACCTTTGGATATCCAAATATTTATTATA